AGTATATCCCTGGGCCTCAGGGCTACCTACATAGCTTCTAGTCCTCTCATTGCTGGCTTACTGGGGGTCATCCTGGGGCTTTCAGACTCATCCCTAGGCTATCTTCATCTTTTTTTTTTTTTTAAAGAATGGAAAAGGTATCTTTAATTCTTTTTTGTAAGATTTATTTTAGTGTTACCAGTGTGTTATTTTTTTTTTAATTTTTAAAACATTTTGTCAGTGAATGATAGCAGGACTCATCATGCATCTTTGTACATGCACATAAGATAATGTCATTAATCTCATTTCCCATACCTTCCCTTTCTCTCCTTTCCTCCCTCACCATTATCTGCTTGCTCTAGTGAAGTACCTCTAATTCCTAAAAGTCTGAGCTTCAGCCAGTCAATGTGGGTTGAAACCGAGGAAGCTAGATTTCAAGGATCAGACGAGGCCAGGAAAATTTAAAACAAAGGAACGAAAAGAAAACTTGGACCAGTTTTGAAATCTGATAGACTTTGAAATTAGGATAAAGAGGCCACCAGATTACATTGACAGTGCACAAATTTTACAATAACTTAAGAAAGCACCAGTATTTTAAGACTCTATTTTAGAAAATAATATAAACTCTCAATGAATTAATTGTTTGTAATGAAAGATGTTATGTCATGTGTGTGTAAGATTGAGATGGCAGTGTACCTCCTTTCATTGTATAGAATTGATACTAAATTAATCCCTGTTAAACTGGAGATTGTGATCTCCCAGCCCTCATCTAGGTATAGTCAGCCATGTGGTATAAGTCACTGTCACCAATAAGGACATAAACAGGCACATTGTGTGGCTGTCTTCATCTTTATAGACCTAACCCCCAGAAGAAGCCAGCAAGCTGCTGCCTTGCACCTGACTAATAATTCTAGCATAGATGGAATGCCTCCTTTAGCACTTGACATTGGGCTATGATGGGAAGAAATCAGGGCTGCATTCTTCAGAGGAAAAAAATCTATCTCCTTAAAAAGGAGATCAAGCTGGTGTTAAATAGACCTGTTACCATGTTGATTATGCAAAGACAGGAGAGGGAGGAAGGAAACTTCTATATGTAGTAACACTGGGCGGAGCACTAAGTATATGTGACTGGTTATCTTTTTGCAATCTACAATTTATGAGTTAAATTAGAAAGTGGAGGCTCGTTGAAATTAAATTATAGGCAGTGGTACTATGGCTTCACTGGTCCTCTTTAAGACTTGAGGAGGTTTGTTTCATTTGGGGGGGGGGAGGTACTGAGAATTGAACCTAAGGGCTATTTACAACTGAGCTACATCCCCAGCCCTTTTGATTTCTTATTTTGAGACAGGGTCTCACTAAATTGCTAAGTCTGGTCTCCCCCTGCCTCAGCCTCCCTACTTGCTGGGAATACAGGCCTGTATCCCCACACCCGACTGACCAAGATCTTTATGACTTCAAAGTTTATACTCTTTTTACTAGACCACAGGCTAAGCTCTTGTCCCCTGATGGAGGTCTTATACTCCAAAGAGCCACTGTTTCTTTCTGAATTCTCTTTTTCTGAGACTATTCTCAGAAACTAAGACTCAGTAGGCTCAAACCATAGTTCCAGTAGTGTTTCTGCTTTGATCTTGGGCAAGTTGTCTTCCCTCCTGGGCCTCAGCTTCCCTGTCTGTAAGGAAAAGATAGAAATATAAAGTCAAAATCTTCTGTTCTTGATTTATCATGAATAGTTTAATTCTTCTTACTGAGAAACTTATCTTGGGGTGTGTTGGTCAAATACCTGACAAGAACAGCTTAGAGGAGGAAGTTTATTTGGCCTCGTGGTTTCAGAGGTCTCAAGTCTATAGATGGCTGACTCTTTTCCTTTGGGCTCAAGATGAGACAGCACATTATAGGAGAAGGGCTCAGTAGAGGAAAGCTGCTCAGTTCATGGTAGCATCAGGAAGCAGAGAGACCGGGCTGCAGAGAAAATGTACCCTTCCAAGGTACATCCCCAGTGACCCACCTCCTCCAGCCATGCCCAACCTGCCTACTGTTACCACCCATTTATTCTACACAAACTGATTAGGTAATAGCTCACAATCAATCCAAACATTTTACCTCCAAACATACCTGCATTAATACTGGAGCTTTGGGGGAACACCTTGTATCCAAACCATAACATGGGTGAATATTTTTATAAGGCTTTATTTATTTTTGCAGTACTTTGATTTGAATACAGAATCTCATGCATGCTAGACAAGGCTCTACCACAGAGCTACCCTAGCCCTTTGTGAGACAGGGTCTTCCTAAGTTGCTGGCCTTGAGCTTGACATCCTTCTCCCTCGGCCTTCTGAGTAGATGGGATTACATATAGGCATTCATCACCACTCAGCTTTATGATTTTTATGTTTTTATTGATCATTTTAAATTAAAAATTTAATGAGATTAATTTTTAAAGATTTGGATTTAAATTTCTAAAATTTAGAAATTAAAATTTTGTATATTTTGTATTTTTTGTTTCTATTTTGTCATGTTCTTTTGAAGTGGATTCTTGCTGTATTCCCCAGGCTAGCTTTGAACTCCTGGGCTCAAGTGATCCTCCTGCTTTATCCTCCGAGTATGCACAATACCATGCATTCCTTTTATTTTTGTTTTATTTTTAGATTTTATTTTATGGTACTAGGGATTAAATCCAGGGGCCTTCTACTGTTGAGCTACATCCCCAGCCCTTTTTAAAATTTTTTTTGAGTCATGGTCTTGTTAAGTTTCCCACACTGACCTCGAATTTGTGAGGCTTCTGCTTCAGCCTGCTTGGTTGCTGGGATTACAGACATGCATCATCACACCTGGCTCTTGTTGTTATTTGGTCCTGGAGATTGAACCCAAGGGTGCTTTACCACTGAGCTATATCCTCAGTACTTTTTATTTTGACACATGTTCTTGCTAAGTTTCCAAGGCTCGCCTTGAATTTGCAATCCTCCAGCCTCAAGCCCTTGGGTTGCTGAGATTACAGACTTTCTGCTTACTTTTCACTTTTTCCTAGTATCTGTTCCCACAAAAGGCAATGTCCCTATATTAATAGTATTCCAGGCATTAGAGAACCAGGGTCAGAATTACAAGACTTTAAGGCTACTTGCTTTCTTCTCCCTTCAAAATACACACACACACACACACACACACACACGCACGCACGCGCGCGCGCGCATGCACACACACACGCACACACACACACACACACACACCCTGCCTTTGAAAGAGTCATTATTCAAAATATAGCCTGAAAGCTGTCTAGGCTGTAAGCAATTGATAATTAAGATGACTGCAATATACGTTTAATTTGTGTGAGAATGGGGAAGGGATCAGTTGTAGTATCAAGATAGAGTACTCTGTGAACTGGTCCTGAAGCCAGCAAATAGATTGCAAAGGTTTATGCAACAAGAGGACTAATGACATTCTCTCTTCCAGAAAAGTGGAGTGACTCAGTATACAGATGTTCCACCTACCCCAGCGTTTGTAATTATGAACTGGCTGGCGGCAGTATGCGAGTAGTCTTTGAATCATCTGTTTTTATAGTTTCTTTGGCTGCTACTCTTTTTAGAACAATCTGGGACATGTCAACTGAAAAATGCACCAATTGCTTACAAGGAGAAAAGGACTTGGTATAGGGGTGCGGACACAGGGAGTTCTTAACCTGCCTCTACTCAGAATGGTGGGTAGGGAGAATGACCTGATGATTCTCAGAGAAATATATGACTTCTGATGAATCCAGATATCTGGAGAACATGAAATGAAAATACTAGCCTAGGTGTATACAAAATGAGGCAAGCTTCAGGAAGAAATGCTGATATCACTTTAATAAATACTAACACAAAGGAGATAAAACTAGAAAGACCTGAATTTGTGGGTAGCCTCATGAAGTAAAAATAAGCTGGGCGCCTATTGCAAAATCATTTTTGTTGCAGTGTGTGCCCCAGGAATGTGCCATTCCTGGTAATCTTTTCCATTTGCATGTGAGCATCTTGTTCCAGCAGTCTTTGGATTCAAATGAACAGAACTTTGGGTTGAGTGAGTTCTTGGTCATCCTGGCACAGAACAGGCTATGTATTAGTCAGTTTTCTGTGACTATAACAAAATACCTGAGATATTAAACTTAGAAAAGGTTTACTTTGGTTTAAAGTTTTGGAGGTCCGTGTTCATGTTTGGTTGGCCTTATTGCTTTGAACCTGTAGTGGCAAATCATGGTGGAAGTACATGGCAGAGGGAAACTACTTACCTAATGACCAAAAAGCAAGAAAGAGAGGGAGAGTGCTGGATCCCACAAACCCTCCCCCGCCTTTTTAAAAATATTTTTTAGTTGTCAAGGGACCTTTATTTTATTTATTTATATGCAGCGCTTAGATTGAACCCAGTGCCTCACACATGCTAGGCAAATGCTCTCCCATGAGCCACAATCCCAGCCCCCCACAGTCCCTCTTAAAGGGGATTCCCCAGGGACCTAAAGACTTCCCACTAGTCCCTACCTCTTAAGTTTTTTACCTCCCAGTATGTCAACCTGGGGACCAAGCCTTTAACACTTGGGCTTTGGGGGAACATTGCAGATCCAGAGTATAGTAGGCTATATGTGTATCTTTTAATTTGTCAAGTATATCTTTGTCAAAGTAGTCTATAAAGTACTGCTTTGGTTTCTGTGTTGAATCAAAGGCCCATATTTTAGAGCTGTGATCCTTACCTTGGTGCTCTTGGAAGGTGGTGGTAGCTTTAAGATAGGGCCTAGTGGGAGGTTTGTGGGTCATCAAAGGCTTTGAACTCAGTCGGCCTGCCTCGGCCTCCCGAGCTGCAGGGATTACAGGCATAATCTATAGACTCAAGAAAACTATTGAATGAATTTAGGAGTTAAGCCTGAACTTTTATTTGGACAGTATGTTACATATGAAACAGAAGAGAAGCATGCTCTTAGACCACTGAATTGGGTGTTATGCTTTATTAAAGAGCCTCACTATTAAGACTTAATTTTAATTTTTGTTCTTTCAATTCTTTAGTCATAAGACAAAGATGACCACAACTCTTCATGACATGGTAGACCAACTGGAACAAATTCTCAGGTGAGAAAAATGAAGTCTTTTGGTTCTGTGCCAAGTAAGTGGGACTATCCAAGAAGTGTGACCCTAAGCCAGCCTTTTAGTCATTATTTCTCCTTTGACCTTGTATTTTTTTTTTTCTGGTTCTTTTTTGAGTGAATCTCCCCAGTGATGAATGTACAGCTGCCTTGTTATAGCAGAATGGAAGAATAGTAAGAGGCATGGGATTATAGACTGATGAGCCTGTATTCAAATCTAGACATTTCTGCTGTGTAATCTTTGAACTTGTGGTTTCCTTATTTTTAATTACTGAACTCGTGGAATTTGGGAATTAATATTATATGAAGCATTTAAAGTCCCTTAAACATAACAGGCACAAAAGAAATGATAATTTCTGCAGCAAGTATTGAATCTGACTTTTGTGGGTACAATATATTATATTAGATCAAACTGTGCTAGAACCTTCATATTACTTGGTATTAGTTTTCTTTACTGTTCTGAGGAAACATTGAGTTATTTCTTTGAGATTGGAACATTCTTAATTTGCCATTTAAGAAGTTAATATTGTTTGTGTTTATGTGTATGTAAAAATGTAACTTTAAAATATTTCAAATAAAATGTTAAGAATAACACTGTTCTTTCAATGTGTAATTATAGAAATTACAGATAATAACACCACTTTAGTAGTGGTAATATGTATGGTAAAATATAATTTGGAGTTCAGTAATTTTATTCACTCAAACTAAGGGTCTTTAGGGTAAATATTTTAAGCTGCACTTAAGGGAACAGAATGTTTTGTGTACCATGTATGTGAGTTAAATGAAGAATTAACTGTTTTTCTCAGGACCTCCATTTATTATTAGCTTGATTCTTATTATTCTATGTTCTGAAAATTATACAGTTGTATTTCTTACAGAATGTTTAATAAATCAAGTGCTTCCTATTACAAGTTGACTTTTCACTACTCCTTTTATCTGTTTGCCTAATGAAACCTAGAAAAGAGATTTCACTGAGATACAATGAAATAGTCATACTTTATTTACTGCATGTTTGTGGTCCTTATGCCACCAGTACCTCAAGAAAACAGTAGTATCCTATAGGTCTCTGGATGATGCTTAGGTCTTACTTTTAAGGTGTGTGTGGGTGTTTTTTTTTGGGGGGGGGTACTGGGATTGAACTCAGGGGCACTTATCCACTGAGCCACATTCCCAACCCTATTTTATATTTTAGAGACAGGGTGTCACTGAGTTGCTAAGCGCCTCGCCATTGCTGTGGCTGGCTTTGAACTTGTAATCCTCCTGTCTCAGCCTCGCACACCATGTTTGACACTGTGCCTGGCCGTAGGTGTTATTTTAAAATAAGAACTTTTTAGTCTTGTTGCCCCTCACAGCTACAAATCATAGAATTGTTAACAATGAGTTAAAATTGGGCAATGAAATTATATATTTGGTTTATTTTACTGATTTGTGTTATTATGGTAGAGGGAAATTGCTAAAATAATTTTGAAATAAAAATGCCCTTTTAAAAAATATGCTTTAGTCCAGGTATATTCTAATGAAAGTCGACGGGGAAAATAAGATTTGAAATATAATGAGCTTTGTTTTTCTTAAATTAAAATATAAAACTGGATCATTGTGAACGTCTAGAGCGTTCGGGTCCCTGGGTAAGGGTCGAGAAATAACCAGGACACAGGGGATGCAGAGCAAAGGCAGCAATTGCAACTGCATGCTGAGGTTTATTTGCAAGTTCCTTTTACACACTTCTTCTAACAAAGCAAGCAATTTTTCAATATCACGTTACCCACATTGCCCAAATATCATGCCTCAGCGGATACACAGAGCTAAATTCAGATTGTTCCTGTTTATTTGATAAGTACCCTCTTAAAGTTCTTTGTAGACATTATCTAATCCCCTGAGGATGCATTTGTTTCTTTAGAATGTACTGTTCCCAGGATAAGTATGCAGGAAGCTTCTTCCTCTTGGCCAAACCACGCAGAACTTGTGACTTGCGATGAGGGGAAGAGAACTTTTCCTCCTCCTAGCTGAGGTTTGCCTCAGCTGACCTAAATCACAACCACAGCTCTTGCAAAATGTCAGGCCTGAGGGAGCTAAACTCTGAACACTCAAACCCCAACAGATCATATTGTGTGATGCTCTTTGTTTTAATACTAGAACTTAAGTATTTGTATGTTTAAGATTTTTTAGAGTCCTTTTGTTTGGCAGCAAGATTTTAAATAATTCTTTTTTTACTTACAGTGTGTCAGAGCTTTTGGAAAAACATGGACTTGAGAAACCTATTTCATTTGTTAAGAACATTCAGTCTAGCTCTGAAGAGGCTCGCAAGCTGATGGTTAGATTGACCAGACATGCCGGTCGGAAGTGAGTCGTTAAAACTCATACGCATATACAGTTTGATAAGGTTTGACATATATGTGCTCATGAAACCATCAGTATTGTCAGGTTCATGAATATATTCATTCCCCTTAAGGGTTTGCTGTTGCTTCTTTACAATCCATTCCTGCCAGCTTCTCCTCATCAAGTCCACATTCCCTTACAAGGTCAGATCTACTTTCTGTCCCTTTACATGTTACTTTACATTTCCTAGAATTTTGTGTAAATGAATCATCCGTATTTTGTGATGGTTATTTGACATCTTTTACTCAGAATATTTTGATTCATTCAGTAGCCCATTCATTTTTATTTGCTGAGTAGTATTTCATTGCTTGGATTAATCTCACCTTATTTAACTATTCTATTAGTGGACATTTGGATGGTTCAAGTTTTGACTTTCACAAATATATCTGCTGTAGATATAGATTTCAATTTCTCTTGAATAAATACATAAAGGTGAACTGGCAGGATCATGGTAGGTAGATGGATTGGTCAGTTTTGTTAAGCTCAGCTATTTTAATAGGTATGTGGGTAGTATCTGATTTTGGTTTTAGTTGCATGTCTTTAATAATGTTGGGGATCCTCTTATAGGCTTATTTGACAAGTCTCTTTTCATGTTTTTTTTTTCTCCTTTGGTACTATATATTGAATCCAGATGTGCTTTATCACTGAGTTAAATCCCTAGTCCTTTGTAAAAATTATTTTTTTATTTTGAGAAAGGGTCTTGCTAAGTTGCTTAGGGCCTTGCTATTGCTGAGGCTGGCTTTGAATTTGATTCTCCTGCCTCAGCCTCCTGAGCTGCTGGAATTACAGGTGTAATTCAGGAGGGGCTTATTTTTTTTTTTTTTTTAATCGTGTCTTCGTTTTTTTTTTAATATGTTCAGGATACATGCTCCTTGTTAGACATATGCTGTGTAATCTTTTCTCCCCTTGTGCCTTATCTTTCCATTCTCTTATTTGTCTTTTTAAAAGCATATTTTTAAAAATCAATTGGTGGTTCTTGAATTCTGCTTTTGTTTTCATATCTAAAAAATATTTGCCACAGTTTTATATTTACCTTTTATAGCAGAATTTTTAGTTGTATGTTTATTTTTAGGTTCATGATGCATTTTGAGAGTTTACTTTTATTGTTCAAAGTATGCATCACATTGGAATGAATTTTTGGTGGTAGGAGTCAAACCTAGGGCCTCGTACACACTAGGCAAGGAGTCTACCATTGAGCCACGTTCGCAGCCCTCACATCTGAGTGTTAACCACACTACTTGTTGAAAATACTGTCATTTCTCTACCTACTTACCTTTGCAATTTTGTTGAAAATCAGTTGTGCATATGTGTAAGGGTGAATTTTTAAAGTCTTTATTCTGTCCATTAATTTTTCATTCTTCCAAAAGCACATTACACTGGTTATTATAGATCTATAATAAATCTTGACATTAGTTAATATTAGTCTCTCAACTTTTTTCTTTTTCAAGTTTGTTTTGCTTATTATAGGGCCTTTCCATTTACATGTGAACTTTAAAATCAACATGTCAAGTGTTCTCATTTGGGATTTTGGTAGGGATTATATCAAATTTATATATTTTGGAGGCATTGCTATCCTAAATCCCTATTAAGTCTTCTATTCCATGAACACAGTATACCTCTCTATTTACTTGGGTCTTTAATGATTTTGTTGCTTTTGATGCACAAATCTCATACTTATTTTGTTAAATTGATTTCTAATATTATTTGTTGATTCTATTGTAAATGAAATTGCTTTCTTAATTTTAAATTGTCCATTCCTAGGATGTAATGAAATACACTTGATTTTTGATACATTGATCTTGTGTTTTTTAACTTTGTTGGACTGACTAGCTTGACTAGTTTTTCTCTGCAGACTTCATAGTCCTGGATGCTAAAGTAGAAAGCTGCCATGTGCTTGGAAAGCTGAGAGTAGTCAGAATGGAGGGCATGTGGCTTGTACAGTGTGTGCTAATCAGGATTGTTGTAAGCCACATCTCTCGTCTTTCCCAGTCATGACCTCCCTTCAATACATAACTTTGCCCCTTTTTACTGCTTGATGCAAATAAAATTCTATAGTATGTACTTTTATGTAGTCTCCCTGCATTATATGGGTGAAATTCATCTACATTGCTGGTATAACATTATTTGTTCATTCTCATTGTTGTAAAATATTTCATTTTTTGAATATAATACATTATTTATAAATTCTATGTTATGGACATTTTGATTATTTCTCAGTTTTGCTTGTTCTTAATACTATTTCTATGAATAATTTTAATTTTTAAAAATTTGTTCTTTTTAATTAAACATGATAATAGAATATATTTTGACATATTTAAATAAATCTGAAGTATATCTTATTCTAATAAAGATTCCAGTCTCTTGTTGCACATATGTGGAGATTCACTGTGCTATGCTTACATATGTACATAGGAAAGTTAAGTCAGATTCATTCCTCTGTCTTTCCTATACGTATGTCTTTGGATATATATGCATATGTGTTTTTCTTGAATACCATACCTACTTAGCATACAATTGCTGAGTTATAGAATATACCTGAGACCAACTTTAGGAGATTCTGCCAAATCATATTTCACAATTATTGTGTATATTGCTCTAGCAATATATAGAGTTATTTGATAGAGTTTTTTTTCCCCTTTCCTCCTTTTTTAAGCAAATACGATAGCATTTTACTGAAATCCTAATGTGTATTTCCCTAATGACAATGAAGTTGGGACTTTATAATAGGATCAAAACATCACATTTCTAGCAGTAAATCTAAAATGAAATATATAAATCATATACACTGAAAATTACAAACACTGAGAACAATAATAGACAAAAAATGGAGAAATATACCTCATGTTTGTTGATTAGAAGATACAGTAGTGTAAAAATGTCAGTTCTGCCTAAGCTGATCTATTCTTTTCCTGCATTCCTATAAGGATTCTAGTATATGTACATATTAAGAGCTGCGCAAGTATAAAATTTGTTCAGTGGAAATGTTATTTTCTGATGCTGATCAGAAAATATTTGTGTTGCTCAATAATTTGGTGAATATGTGACTTTTTCACGTACTATTTCTGTTGCTTAAAACAGTTTCTAAGAGTTTATAGGTAATGAATCTTTTCAAACGAATGAGTGAATAAGTGTAAAAAGATAATGTTAAATTTGATAACTAGAACATTTGTATTTACACTAATCCTGTATGTTTCTATGTTAACGTCATTTGAAGTGTAACAGTCATTCTAAGGAAGGTAGAAATTTTGCTGAGTTTCTCTTTGGAAATTTACTTAAAACCAGTTATAAGAGAGACAGGACAACTGAACTCATTAGTTAACATTTACATTTCTTAAATATTTATGAATTTTTTATTTACATTATTTTATGACTATTTTGTTATGGATTTTGACATACTTAGTGTCTGTATTATGCTTGATGTCAGGCTTCTGAGGAAAAAAGACATGACACCTGTCTGGACTGGTTGGAGCTATGTCCGATTAAATTATACTAATAGAATACTCATGAAGTCTATGTGAGAATTAACAGATTACCTTGTAGAAAAGTTGGCAACAGAGTTGAAAGGCATTTTGAAGTAGGTGGTATCCAAATGTTCAGTAATAAACTCTAAAGTGTTTTTAATCTATTATACTAGATTTTTAGGCAGGGAAATAAGCAGAGAGGACCTGTGACCTTGTGGCCTTTAGGTGGAGATTCCAGATTGAAGATGGATGTGAAGATCAGAGAGGTGTGAGCTGGAGGTAGGGAGTGGAGGGTGATCCCCAAGGATGCAGGTGAGGTTAGATTCTGAACCTGTCCCTCAGGAGACTGTATAAAGATGTGAAGAATGCTTGGGAAAAGTCTTCTCAAAAGCTAATGCTGAAGGGGCAGCCTCACAGGAAGTAGGATCAAATAATGAGAGCTTTTCAAAATCTTCTTTCTCTCTTATTATTCGAATTTTGAGATATAGTTTAAAGATGAAAAGAAAAAACTCCCATGCTAATGAGACAGTCTTATATATTTCCCTCTTTTAAGATCTTGTTCCACATCTTTTTAGGAAACCTGGTTTGACTACTCCAGGTGGAATGAATTGTTTTTCCTGGAGATTCCCTGGCTTTTCCCATGTGCCTCCCTTGCTGCTGTCCTCATTTCTCGCAATAGCATCCTGTGGTTATTAAAGTCTGTACTTCACATTCCCCTTTAGATCCCTCTTTCTCTAGCACGAATGTGATCACCACCATACAGCTCAGATGGGAACTCACATATCAGCTGTCTGATTATTGAATGAATGATTAAGATTTTGAATGATTCAAGTCTTAAGATTTCTTAATGGGCTCTGGGCTGCTTTCCCTTCTTGAGTGGGCACGGAGCCCCAGCATGCTGGTTCAATAAATCCCCTTCTGCCAAAAAAAAAAAAAAAAAAGATTTCTTAATGGCCGGAGGAATGCAACTCAGTGCTAGTAGCACTTGCCTCGCAGACTGGGAGACTTGGATTTGATCTCAAGTTCTGCAAAACAACCAACCAATCAATCAAAATGCAAAACAAAAATCCCACTTCTCTTTCCTTTAAGAGGGGGAAAAAAATTTCTGTTCAAGTGGGGTGTGAGGTTCTGACTGCTCTAAAACCTTCTCTTTAACAGGAAAGCCTTGCTGTTGCTGCAAGATTATCCTCACATTGAGTTTCTTACATAATGTTGAAGTGTCTGAGGTTAATTTCTACTCAGTGACCTGTTTACTAAGAATACGGCCCATTTTCAAAGTAGTATGTTTAAAATGAATTTAATTATTTTGTTATGTTACCATGGCTTGGTCTTCATTACCTCCAGAATAGTCTTGTATATATCCTAAATGGTAGCAATGTCCCCAAATCTGTTAAAACTGAGGTTTGACCATCTTGAATACAAGACTGTTTTTCCCTTAAAAATCCACCTCTGTTCCAAAGCTCAACTCATACTGTGTATGTGTGTGTTCAGGAATCTTGTTAATTTGCAAGCCTGTTTAGTTTCTTCAAGTTCTATTCTTCATTCTTATTTACTGAATGTTTTCTGAAGAAGGCCATTATAAATAATGTGTTATAATTTATTTTAATTAGAACTCTATTTACGACTAGCCATGTGTGAGGAAACATTAATACCATCTGTCCCAGTGCTGATGGCTTCTAGAAGAACAGCTGGGCTGTGAGGACTTGAGTTCAGCTAGATGATGCCTAGGTCTGATTTTATTGAGCTGGTGGAAGCTGGGGCCCTCACTTCATCAAACATTTCACTGTGTCTCCGCTTGCATACCAAAGCTGAAAGAGTCCTCCATTCTTTGATGCCAGAGGGTAGAGTTCAAGTACTAATATCAAACTAATGAAAACATTTTATGGATTATTCTGAGAAATTCTTGCCAATATTATAAATTTTGTGTGTGTGTATGCTAAAAAATGGTTTTCTTCTTACGTATTATTACATATGAAACGAGAGTAATTCATTTTGCGTAATATAAAATGCCAAAGGCAAGTGAAGCATATTCTTATTAAAAGAAGCATATACTTATTAAAAATTTTTAGGAGAAGCTGGGCAAGGTAATGTGTGCCTTTTACTCCAAGAACTCAGGAAGTTGATGCAGGAGGATCACTTGAGCCCATGAGTTGCAGGACAGCCTAGAAAACATAACACAAAAATTTTTATAGACAAGATTTTTTACAGAAATTACCCCTCAATGCATACTTTTTCTATAGAAATATTTATTATATGTGTACTGTCAATCTGCTCTTTTTAACACAGCTCTTGGAAATAGTAATGATTTTTTAAAAATGCATTATATGACATAAAGCCAAAAATGATTAACAAAAAGATACATTATCTAGTTGGTATTTGACAAACACAAAACAGAATCTACCCTTTTCAAACATTGAGATTCAGGGCTGGGGTTGTGGTCCGGTGATAGTGTGCTTGCGTTGCGTGCATGGGATACTGGGTTTGATCCTCAGCACCACATAAATAAAATAAAGGTATTGTGCCCATCTACAACTAAAAAAAAATTGAGATTCATTATGTAGAACTTGAAAACAAATTTTAGGTAAACATAAATGATGATTCCAAAGAAATATATATTAATCTAAGATGAACTTTTGAGAATTATAATGTTCTTTCTACAAGGCAATATTAGTAATCATATGTAACTTAAACACAAATGTATTTGTAACTTCATTTTCATTCATTGTTTGTTGAAAACTTAATACCAGAAAAATTGGAAGTCTTTTTATATGTTCTAGTTTAAGTTCATATTTATAACATAGATAAAAGGGAGCCTAGAACTCAGTATATTAAAAACTCAAGTTCATACAGGTAATTAAGCTTATAGGAGCATCTTGCATCAATGTTTGTGTTTCATCAGAATTATTATCCATTCCTTTTGAGACTGAGGTGGGCTTTGAGTTAGGAAAGTGAAATTCAGAAACATTAAATGACAGCTAATCTGTGACTGTGGATGAAAATGTTAGCAAAACCCTTTCCCCTGCTACAGGAGATCTTGACCATTAATCCCCTTCTCTGTACCTTTGGAAGAAAACATAAAATGGTTTTTAATCAACCGAATTACAAAGGTCTCACTGCTTGGGTATAATTGATCGAACTGGTAAATTACTTCTGGCATGGAAGAAGTGTAAATGACCCAGAAATACCCTGTGGGACCTTTTCACTTTGGCCTTTCTTGAGTGTGGTCACTGGCATGTTTCTTAAGGGGCCTGGAACACTGTCTGTGGAATAGTTGCAGAGGGTCCTGGCTCTTGGGAACAGGAAGCTCCTTGCTGTGCCCACGGGGTGAACTGCTGTAACTGCTCCATGAGGCTTCTTTTACCTGAACTGTCACCTGAGAAGGTGACTCTGCAGTATTCTGTAAGTTGCTGTATGGAGTGCTGTCCATACTGTCACTGAAGGAACAACTCAAATGGCCCTGCTGCGAGTCATGGTTCGCATCCTGCCTTCAAATCCAGTGTCGCCTGTGGTTGCCCCATGTGTTTGAATGTTCAGTTGAAGACAGACCTCAGAGAGGAGGTGCACAGTGATGAAGAAGTAGTTTGAAATGAATTCCTGTCTCCAAATGCTTTTTCTTCATCATAGCTGCTTTATCTTTTGGTGCTTTATTTTACCTTAGAAACTCACAACTTGTCGATATGCCATTTGTTGTTTCTGCTGCTCGTTTCGTGTCTAAGCAGCCTATGACAGGGGCCGATTTGGCAGCAGCTCTAGCATTGAGGTACAGCTGCCCAGCTTTTCCTTCTGTCTTCATATGAGATCATTCCTAGTGATCATTTGGAATGGTGGTACTTGTTTGTTGTGTTCTTAACTTTTAACTAATAGAAGAGAGATCTTTCATGTTTTCGGTTTTCATCTTTTGTTTTTCCTGTTATTCCAGGCAGCCTCCTGTGAGTGAGTCTCATTGGAGAACCTTGCTGCAAGACATGTTAACCATGCAGCAGAATGTGTACACGTGTCTGGATCCCGATGCTTGTTATGAGGTAACTACACCTGTAAACTGCTGCCTTTTAATTTTTTACACTGTTGGTGACAAGGAAGATGACGATAAGCTGCACTGTGATACTGTTCAAATAGCTGATAATTGACGGGTACTTCCAGTTTAGTAGTTTTATACTCACTATTTTCCTATCTTTGCTTATTGCAACACCAAGTATTTAATGGGGTAATCATGAGCTAAATACAAAATTGTACATGACTTCTCTTCGTGGTGGTTATTAAAACTTTATTTAGTGGCTGAGGGTGTAACTCAGTGGTATAGTGCATTCTTAGCTTGTGTGAGGCCCTTAATTCAGCCCTCAGCATGCAACAAGACTATAAAACCAAAAAACATATTTAATGTACCTTAGAAAATTCTTCCAGATTTGTCTTGTCTTCCTTTATCTTTGCTGAATTGCAGTAATCCTACTTGTTTTCCCTATGTCTGTATCTCTTTATTGTTTATCCCGTCAGGGTATTCTAAAACGAAATGTTCATGGTGCTCCCTTTCTTAAATGTGTTGCTTGATATCCATATAAATAACCAGATGAAAATGTTAGCATTGTAGTTGTTGTTTGCATGGCATGGAGAGCCACAGCAGCCTGCTTTCTCCTGTCCACTCCCACCTTGGTCACACTCCACCATGAATTTATATTCCAGGAGCTCCATCAAATCTGACATGAATCCACCTATCCACCATCATGCTGGTCCACATTTCTGTGACTTTATGTACTTTGCCAGAAATATATTCCTTTTTCATTTACTTGGAACATCCCGATGCATTTTTAGGACTCAGCACACTAATTCTGTCCCCTGTCCCCTAGGACACCTTCCTTTGTCTTTTCATATAACTTACCTCTGCTGTAGCTTTTCTTAAAATACAGTTTTTGCTTACATATGTGTTCCTTTGATTTGGTCATGAATTTGGTCATGGTCCTAGTTAGGTGTTATCCCAACACATTCATCCTTACATACCCCAGTGTTGTTATGTCTGGAATGTAAAAAATGATGCTTAAGAAATGGTTGTCACTTGACTGGGAACATAATCCAGGGGGACTTATTATTTCTGAAGGTTTGTGTAATAACAATAAATTACTGATGATCCAACTAACTCATTTTTAATGAGATTCAGCCTAAAAGAGGTTTCACATTTGAAGTTTCTTGTTAAATAAGTCATGTACAAAACTATATAGGGCATTCCTATAACAAAGCACAATCCATTTTATGGAATGAGAGTTGTAAAAATAGGTCTCTATTTTGTGAAATTGTTGAGTTTTTTAATTCAAGTAATTCAAATAAAAAAGCAGTAACAGACTGTTGAGAAAAGAATGATTTTATATTTGAAATTCAGGTTTTTAAATGCTTGACTGACTGTAAGGTTGATATTGTTGATTACAGTCTCACAGCACATACAACTGCCAGTAACTTCCCATTGTGTGTTTAAAACAAAACTTGAAATCAAATTTAGGAGAAAATAATCTGTATGTACTTGGAATCTAAAACTGACTTACTATGTCTGAATAGTATTTTTATATCACTGTGGTGGTGTTTTGGTACCTTCCTGTTTCGGATTAGGATTCTGATTCTGATTGAAAAATTGGCCATCTGTATGTTACGCTTCAACTAGCTCCTTTGTGCAGTAATCTCTCATAACAACCGGATTGATATATTACATTTTAAAATATTGTAGTACCTTTTTATTAGGCTTGACATCTTAATGATATCTATTTGAGTGTCTCTCTGTTGAGAAAACATTTGAAACATTATGAAGATTCTAGAAGACAGTTGTATAGATTTGATAAACTTAGAAGTTTTAAATATCATTTTTGTACCTTTAAACTATGCTATATTGTCTTACTGACTTTCAGTTATTAGATTTTGCTGTCCTTGGAAAGTAATTTGAAACCTCAGTGGTGTAACTTTGAAAATGTTACATACAGATTTACTTATAGACTGTAGAACAGAAATCCATACTGTTCATTTTAGCAAGACTTTAAGTTTTAGGATTAAATAATTTGAGTTTTTCAGCTTTTGCCTTGAGTCTTTATGGCTTGCTTGAATAAACCAGAGGTATAGAGAAACTGGTCCATGATTGGAGGAAGCTGTTTTGGTCAGTCAGATGGAAGAAGTGATGAGGACTGTTCATTGATTTGCTTTCTATATAATATTTGTTTTATAGAAGATACTTCTTAGACATTAGTGACTTTTTTCTTACCAGACATCTCGATAAAGGCCTGGTCAAAAATGCTTCTCGTAAAGTGATAACAAGGGAATACTGTGAAAACTTGATCTTAATTATGAGGAAACTCTTCTCCATGAAATATATATATATTTTTATCTTTTCTGTTTCTCTTCTATCTTCATCCAGCTGTGGAATGCTAGGGAAGAACATTCTTGGGGAAGTTCTTGTGCTAATTATAGATCACATTATTAGTTTCCTTAAAAGTTAAAAATTTTTTTTTAGTCATACATGGGCACAATATCTTTATTTTGTTTACTTTTATGTGGTGCTGAGAATCGAACCCAATTCAGGAGCTCAATTCAACTATAAGAAAATGATAAGGAGAAGGAAATACTAATTACTCTGATTTCATAAGTACATGCTACGTGCAAGTGTTGAAATATCCCACTGAACCCCATTAATTTGTATAATTAATATATGTTAATATAAAATTTTTAGAGTGTGAGGTACAATAAGGACATTTTCAAGTAAACGGAAATATCACAGGACTGTACTTCAGGCAGGAGAATTAGCTAAATATTCAAACATCATGAGCACAGACTAGTAGATAGGTGAGTAAATCTAAACAAATCACTGTCCAAAATAATAATAATAATTGTCTATTTTGTAAAGGAAAACATTCTAGAAATAAAAGACAACTGCAATAATTTATAAGGTGGAAAAGAACTAAATAGAGTTTAAACATTCTAATATCTTTATACTCTGTGAGAGAATAATAGGACATTGATTAATGTAAGCCGTTGGGGCACTAAATGCTAGTGAGACTGCAGGGGAAAAAAAGGAACTCTTATTGCTGTCAGTGAGTATATAAATTAGTACAGCCACCATAGAAAACAGTATGGAGGTCCCTCCAATAAATTAAAAATAAAATTACCATATGATTCAGCAATTCTACTACTGGTATACATATCCAAAGGAGATGAAGTCAATACACTGAAAAGAAACTTGTACTCCCATGTGTACTGCAGCACTCATCATAATAACTAAAATAGGGAATCAACCCAGATGCCCTTTAGTAAGTGAAGGGAAAAAGAAAATATTATATTTACACAGAGGAATACTATTTGGCCATAAAAAAGAATGTAATCCACGTCATTTGTAGCATTATGGATCAAACTGGAGGACACTATGTTAAGTAAAATAATCCAGACACAGAAAGACAAAGACCATATGTTCTCACTCATTCGTGGAAACTAATTAAGTCAGTCTTGTAGAGGAATGGAATGAAATAGTGTTCACTGGAGACTGGAAAGGACAGTAGGGGTCAGAGTTGGAAAGAAGTTAGAATGGTGGAATTACTTCTTTTGCACATTAGGGTTTTTTGGTTAAAAACTACGATATATTTCAAAATTACTAGAAAAGATTACAAAATTCTCAAAATGTAAAAATGATTAATGGTGGAAGAGGTGAAAATGCATATTACTCTGATTTTATTATTACACACTGTATGCATGTATTGAATTAACATAACATATCCCATAATCTCGCCATCTGCCCACGTTGACTAGATGAGCTGGGTTCAAAAGAGCTGGCTGCAAGATTAAGATAAGAAAACTGCGAAGAAAATAAAATAAAGATACATGTGTTTTCATGTAACACATGGAAATGAGTTTCTCAGATTGAGGGTAGGACAGCTCTTCGACCTTAAGGGTCAACTGGGAAAGAGAATGTGCACCCAGAATCTCTTTATTTTTATAGGGGGTACACACAAAGGAGATTTGATGGAATGTTCTTCACCAAATAAGGCAGGGGATAATGTTTCAAAGGTGGAGTCTTGCTTTGTGATGTCTTGTGGTCAGCAGATTGACTAACATCTTGGCAAGTTACACCCATCTCAGGTGCTATATGGGAATCACAGGCAGAGCAAGAGGACGCAGAGCACTTGCGTCACACAGCCCAATCAGCATGCAATGCCAGACCTGTCCCTTCATATAGCTCTAATGTGCATAGCTCACACACACAGCCCACAGATGGCTCATGACACCATAAAGATGTACAAATATTATATTTCAATAAAAAATAAATTTAAAAAGACAGAACATAACTTCCAAACCAAAACAAATTAGAAAAAAAAAATTGAGCAAAAATTAAACCCAAAACAAAGTCAAGAAAGGAGACTCTTTTTAAAGGAAAGGCAGGACTGAAAACATGAGACAAAAAGAAAGACCATAACAAAATAAAATGGTCTATGACAAAACAAATGGACTGGGCGCTGTGGCACAAACATATGATCCTAGCAATTCAGGAGGCTAACGAAAGTAAATCAAGTTCAAAGTGAACCTGGGTAATTTAGTGAGAGCTTCAGCAACAAGAACCTGTCTCCAAGTTAAAAATAAAAATAAAAGTGAAAAGGATGGGATGTGGTTTAGTGGTAAAGCACCCTTGGGTTTGAAACATCCCTAATACCAAAAAAAATTTTTAAATGACCAACAGTTAGTCTCCTTCACAAAGCATGTCATGTGAGAGTGATTAGTTTGAGCTTTCACTTGAATTCTCTCTTCTGAGAATTCTATATAAAACAAACAGGACAGATTTTGAACTGACAGAGTGTGTGCTCCCCCTATGGTAATGGGGGATATGGAGACCAAAAGGCAAAACTTAAAAATATCAAAGAATACACATGCAGTGGCATACACCTGTAAATTCAGCAACTCAGAAGGTTGAGGCAGAAAGACTGCAAGTTCCAGGCAAGCCTCCACAATTAAGCAAGACCCTGGGAAACTTAGGGAGACCTTATCTGAAAATGAAAAACAAAAAGGACTG